TTAAAGCTTTCTCTCTCTGGTTCTTTTGCTTTGAAGAGATGACTCTTTAAATAACACTTCATAATGTATAAGTATTAAATAGACATGGGGATGAGAACAGATTTTGACAGAAATTGTAACCTTACTCATATCGGAGAAGTTGCTTAGTGTTACATAAGGCAGCTGCTTACCAACAGGGCTCACATCTCATGAAGTGGCCATGAATCACAGTTAAAGAAGCAATTTATACAACTCCAGTCTGCCACATCATCACATCAGTACATCATACACTTCTGCAGATCAGGAGACATCCATGGCTCCAGGCTTATCAAATTATTTCATTTTTGTTCTTAGATCAAGGACATCAATCTCATTCCATCCCCAAATCTTTGCCAAGTACATAATGAAGATGACATTTTGTCCTGACAACGAAACCATCCCAATTAGATGAACTACTTTAGAAAACATTAGCTCTGACACACAACAGGCAGGAACTATGAGGGTATAACAGACTCAGAAATCATCAATAATACTAATCCTAACAGAGTTAGTCCAGGGCCCCCCCTGTACCCTGGGCATGCATGCTTTGACGATTCACATGTTTGATTGTTCCCACTATCCAAACTAATTGAGATTTTATTCAGCTTTAATAATATTCTGTCATTGTGATGCATATATTCCTTTCCATCCCACAGATTACTGTGTTACTGAACAGAATTCAACATGCTCAGAAATTGTGAGTTGATACAAAATCTAATATTGTTTGTATTTCAGCTCTTGCTCATGAACCCCTTTTAATGCTCATCCACCTTTTTTTCCCCCTCAGTAAAAAAGTTCATGGTAAAGGAAAGGTGGGTGGTCGCTGGAAGTAAGGCCCGAAAAACAAAAACAAATATATAAAGATACCACAGGATAATGAAAGAAAAAAAAAACGTATTTCCATCGGAGTCTTCCTTTGTCCCATTGGTTTCTGTGGATAGGATATTGTATCTGGATGTTGACTTTCTGAAATAAAGAAAATAAACTACATTTGAATGGTGTCTTTGTAAACCCCCTATGATAAAGCTCTGGTTTTACACATGTCTAGACTTCTAAAGTAAAAACACAGCACAATGGAGAATAACAGGCACTTCTAGACTTTTTATTTCCTTCCTTTGCCATGACAGATCATGTTTTCTGCTTGGGGGCATCTTTTCATGCTCCTGCTCACATTGAACTCAAGGTTGACTCAGAGCTGAGTTAGCTGATTGATATAATCCATTCTGAAAGAAACCTTTTGTAATACAGTGTCTTGTGAAAGTATTCGGCTCTCTTTAACTTTTTGACCTTTTGCCACATTTCAGGCTTCAAACATGAAGATATAAAATTGTACTTCTTTGTGAAGAATCAAAAACAAGTCTATGCAGCTTCTCTGTTACTCACTCTTTACTCCATCCAGACAGTGTCTTGCCCAAGACCAAAATCAAATAAACTAGTAAAGATTCCCAAAGAAGTAAATCATGATAATCTAATCAAAACTCAATTTGGGTAAAAAGTTGAAATGATTGAATGTGATTTATTTAACATAAGATCTCTTTCTTCATAAACTATTAGTTAATGACTACTCTTGTGATAGTCACTTTGATTTATGTTGTCTTACAGTAACTTGGCTAGAGCAAGAGGATTATGTGGGCTTAAATTAGGCAACTCCTTCTAGTCATTTAAATTTTCACATCCCCAAATTCTTGGCAAGGAGCAACATCCAGTAGCAACAATCTTTCAGTCTGACTTACTGATTACTCGAAAGGCGGTTAATACTTACAACTCTTTTGAACATTTAACCCTTAGTTTCCCTTAACC